GGAGCGACTGGAAATATCGACTTGGCTAGTTACTATAAATGCTTTAACTACGGCTAAGTAGCCTAAATAGTTGGAAATCTACTGTTTACAGTACCTGCCTACACTTAAAAAGATGTGTATCTGGGAGAGAATTCAGGACTGGTAGATGCGTTGACTTAATCTTGGTTAGATGTTTCCTTGAAAGATGACATGTTCCAAATATTCCACCTTGGTCTGAAAAAGGAAAAGCTTTTCTTTGGAGGTCTTACGTCGTATCTTCCAAGGGAGGTAGTAGGACTAAAGAGTTTATTTCTCTTGGATGTCAGAGCATGGTGCACATCATCAATGTGTTAAACCAGAACTAAATTGTTGGAAAAACAACTCCATCTAGGTTTCTTTTTAATGAATAAAAAGAGCTGGAGGGAAATTCACAGCAGCCCTGAAGCAATATGACTCAGATATATAGCTGCCCTTAATAGGTAAGAGAACAATTACTGACTCTCTCCCTCTCATAATTAAAAGTTCCAACAAGGATACTCCCTTGTTTTTAATACTTCTTTCCCTCCAAGAAATCTCAAACCACTACAGCTTTTTCTTAAGATTTTATTTTTAAGTAATCTCTATACCCAACACGGGCCTTGAACTTAAAACCACAAGATGAAGAGTCACATGCTCTCAGACTAAGCCAGCCAGATACCCCTGAAACCACTACAATTTTTTTTTAAAGATTTTATTTATTTATTTGAGAGAGAGAGAATGAGAGATAGAGAGCACGAGAGGGAAGAGGGTCAGAGGGAGAAGCAGACTCCCTGCTGAGCAGGGAGCCCGATGTGGGACTCGATCCAGGGACTCCAGGATCGTGACCTAAGCCGAAGGCAGTCGCTTAACCAACTGAGCCACACAGGCGCCCGAAACCACTACAATTTTAAGGATAAAATATGCCATGTCTCCCTGCTTTTTTTTAAATAGATATTTACCTTATATACCTAAAGAAAAATGGAGCTAAATAAAAGAAAAATGTAGCCAGACATGCTCCGAAGTCTTTTTTTTATGTCCTCCTTTTTCTTTACTTGTCTCTGAAAGTGCCTTAATGGGAAGTCACAAGACTTTTGGGGAATAGGTTCAAACCTGAGGTTTTTGGTCTAAGTTTTGGAATTTTAATTTGAAGAGACATGTCCTTAATTAGGACTCAATGTAAATCAGAGCATTATACATATCATAAGATGAGCACGTACATCAGTGTAATTCCACAGCCCAGATGGGCTCTGCTGGGGCAAATCCCTTCTGGCCAAAACTTAAAAAGATCATAAATGTGTGCAATGATGCTTAAGATATATGCACTGAGGTTGACGGCTCTGGATATATAACCACATTTCTGAGCAATAATGCTCTTTAGTCAGCTGTGCATATGGCTTAGCCACCCTCTAGGACAGAATTTCAATTAAGATGACCAACTATTTGGGGCGCCTGGGTGGCTCAGTTGGTTAAGTGACTGCCTTCGGTTCAGGTCATGATCCTGGAGTCCCAGGATCGAGTCCCGCATCGGGCTCCCTGCTCAGCAGGGAGTCTGCTTCTCCCTCTGACCCTTTTCCCTCTCGTGCTTTCTATCTCTCATTCTCTCTCTCTCTGAAATAAATGAAATCTTAAAAAAAAAAAAAGATGACCAACTATTTGTGGTTGAAGGTTTCATTAATATAGTCATGTGATATGGTTTCAGGTTACTGATTTCACACTAATGAATCTTTTTTTTTTTAAAGATTTTATTTATTTATTTGAGAGAGAGAATGAGATAGAGAGAGAGAGAGAACAAGAGGGAAGAGGGTCAGAGGGAGAAGCAGACTCCCTGCTGAGCAGGGAGCCCGATGTGGGACTCGATCCAGGGACTCCAGGATCATGACCTGAGCCGAAGGCAGTCGCTTAACCAACTGAGCCACCCAGGCACCCCACACTAATGAATCTTATCTACTTGTTCCTAGAATGTGTTTGTCATATGGTAGGTACTCAATAAATGTATTTGAAAGAATAAATGAGGGAATGATTGATACTCTTTTTACTATTTTTTAGTATTTTTACTATTACTATTATCTTACTTGAAAAATAAGTTACAAACTATACCTGAACAATTTAGTAATATGTAGGACAAAGGCTAGTAAAACATATTCTCTAAAATAGGATAATCAAAGATATCCTACTTCATAATAAACCACTTACAATGTTATGTAGTAGAATGGTTCTATAAAAACATAAATGTAAACTGTTTAGACTTAGCTTATAAAGCTTAACACCTAAATCTACCTAAAAATAACTCACATAAAAATACTAATTTTATTTATATTATTATTATATATTATTATAGGTATGAATTATTATTCTTTTAGACAAAAGCAACTGTCATTTAATCATTCTGGTCTTTTATATTTTTATTATGCCTACTCAACCCAATGCCTCCTTGGGAGTTTATAATTGGCTATGCTTCAGACTCTTGTATTCAAAAAGTATTCTTAAAGAGCTTACTTCCTCTCCTAAATCAGATAATTCACTTACAGTAATAGGAGAGGTTATGTATTAGGGTATAGATCTGGTAGATGTGGTAATGAAAGCATGGGGATGGTAGATGTGGTAATGAAAGCATGGGGAAGTCCTTTTCTTTCTTTCTTTTTTTTTTTTACGTTTATTTATTTATTTATTAAGTAATCTCTACCCCCAACGTGGGGCTCTAACTCATGATCCCAAGATCAAGAGTTGCATGCTCTTCTGACTCAGCCAGCCAGGCACCCTGGGGTTAGTCCTTCTCTAACTGAAAAAGGATGCAAGGTATCAGCTAAATGGATCACGTAAGCAGAAAATGGTGCAAGTTTGATAGAGTATGAAATCGTTGTCTCAGAAAATAGTACCATGAATGGTCTAGGAAATGTTTCAGGATTTTAAGCTGTATGCATGATTATCTTATATGCTTAATGCAATGGTCATTACTGCTATAAGCTTAATAGGTGGTCTTTAGTTCCCTGCCACTAATTCTTACCTCTTAGATGTATCTCCAGTGTTATGAATATTATCTTCTAAAAATACAGTGATTTTATTAAATAAATAAGTAAGTAAGTAAGTAAGTAAGTAAACTCTACCCCCAATGTGGGGCTAAAACTCACAACCCGGAGATCAAGAGTAGCATGTTCTCAGGGGCGCCTGGGTGGCTCAGTTGTTAAGCGTCTGCCTTTGGCTCAAGATCTCAGGGTTCTGGGATCGAGCCCCGCATTGGGCTCCCTGCTTGGCAGGAAGCCTGCTTCTCCCTCTCCCACTCCCCCTGCCTGTGTTCCCTCTCTGGCTGTGTCCCTCTCTGTCAAATAAATAAATAACATTTTTAAAAAATCTTAAAAAAAAAAAGAGTAGCATGTTCTACCAACTGAGCCAGCCAGGCACTCCTAAATATACAGCTCAGATCAGTTTCCTCATAATTCAAAAACCTCTAATGGTTCTGAGCTAGTGCATTCTCCTCAGGACAAAATCCTTTAAATCTAAGCCTCATCTTATCTTTCTAGGTGTCTCCTTCATCTCATACCTTCAAACAATTCTACATTTTAAGCTCTAAGACTATAGTTCTTGAAATACGTCATGCACTTCCACGATTCTGCTTCACACTAGTATTCTGTTCGTATGGAATACTTTTTTTTTTTAAAGATTTTTATTTATTTGAGAGAGAGAGAGAATGGTAGAGAGAGCATGAGAGGGAAGAAGGTCAGAGGGAGAAGCAGACTCCCCGCTGAGCAGGGAGCCGGATGCGGGATTGGATCCTGGGACTCCAGGATCATGACCTGAGCCAAAGGCAGTTGCTTAACCAACTGAGCCACCGAGGTGCCCTGTATGGAATACTCTTAAGTCATTTGAAATCCTATTCATTCTTGAAATGATTTAACTCAAATGCTACAGCATTCATCCCTTCAACTAACATTTAAGTACTTCCAATGTACCAGGCACTGGGCATACAAAGCAAAAAAAAAAAAAAAAAGAAAAAATAATGTAAGGGAATACTTGTTCAGCTGTTAACGATGAATGAACCAGAGTTACATCACACTGATAAATCTTAAAAACAACATTAAGTAAACAAGCAAACTGCAAAAGGATATCACATCACTGATTGTTAAAATTATGCAAAACAGTACTATATGTGAAATTAAAATGAAAACATAAAGGTGCTTGGGGAAGTGGTTACCTTGGGCAAGAGGGAACAGAATGAGATTGCGGGGAGCAGACAAAGGACTTCAATTTATATTATCAAACAATTTATGTAATTTATTTCTCCAGTTAGACGGCGAGTACACAATGTATGAGTTACACTTTTGTTTCTATCTTTTGTCTAAAATACTCTATTTTAAAGGATCTACAAGGCTTGACTCCCTCCTGCAGGCACTGCAGATCTGTCTCATAACCAGTAACTTAAAATTACCTTCCATCTCTTGTACTCTTTTGTTTCCCTTCATGCACACATTAGTACACTAGACCTTAAGGGCAGGAAGTTCCAGGTATCACCTCTGGGTATATTAGCACGTTAGCCTCTTCAGCAGATTCCTGTTCCCTCCAGTCCTCTCAGGCCCAACTACGCCTTCTAAGAATTTCAGCCTGACCCTTTCAGCCGACCCTAGAATAGCTCCCCTCAAATCCCGGATTGCTGTTCCCCTTCCCCCGGGAGACCTCAATTCGTCCCCTGAGCAAAAACAGAATGTGCCTCCCCCAACGAACCCCTGAGTATCTCCCCTTAGCAGTCTCTGGTCCACTCCTATCACAGACTGCCTTTCTCCTCACCTCCAGCCCAGCGCCACAAGCCTCCCGTTTCGCCCGTTGAGCGGCGATTCGGCGCGTCCCCCCAATTCCCTACGCAACACCACTTCCGGCCTGACCTTAGTACCCACGAACATCTCACTTCCAGCCGGAAAAGGGCTGGCTCGGCCCTCTGCGCACGCGCAAAGCCGGAGGCCGGGTCCGTATCTTCTCGTCCAGGCGCTCGCGCGGCAGTCTCGCGGTATTTCCTCGCCTCGCTGGGGTTATTTGAACGCTCTGGCGGTAATTCGAACTTGGGTGCTCGGCTACGGGCTGACCGGATTCTGAGGTGAACTTGTAGACTTCACCTGGGGTCCGTAGGGACCCTGCAGCCCGGAGCAGACGAGGCTCGTCCCGGCCGGGTGCCGGCGCCATGGGGGCGGAGAAGAAGCTGCTACCGGTTAAGGAGGCCTTTCAGCTGGCGCAGCAGCCGCACCAGAACCAGGCGAAGCTGGTGGTGGCGCTGAGCCGCACCTACCGCACGGTAAGCGCGGCCCCGGGCCTCGGCCGCCGCCCCTCGCCCTCCCCGGACAAGCGTCCCCCAGGGGCCGCCCGTGGCCTTCCGGACTCCAACCTTCTGAACCTTCCCGACCCAGTTCGGAGAGGTCTGGAGACCTGCCCCAGGTCGCCCGGGCACCCCCCTCCCCAGCGGACCCCCCGAGTGACTCGTGAGCGCACGCAGACCCTGACAGTCTTTATAAAAGGATTGTAGGGAATTTTGAATTTTAGTACCATTTTACCTGGTTTACTTATTTAGAGACCCATATTATATTTAATGATCACAGTCTTGTGTCTCTTTAGGTTAACAGTTCACTGATTTTTAACATAAATCTGCATTTCATTAACCAAGTTTAAAAAATCATACATAAATATACATTTATATTTCTACCCTGTAATTTTAACAAAATACATTTCTTTATTATTGACAAAATCAGTCAGTGCTTCTTTGTTACAAACCAGCTGTTTTTCAGGTTGATATACTTAATTGCCTTTTTTAAAAAAAGATTTTATTTAGTTATTTGACAGAGAGAGGGAACACAAGCAGGGGGAGTGGGAGAGGGAGAGGCAGGCTTCCCACCGAGCAGGGAGCCCGATGCGGGGCTCGATCCCAGAACCCTGGGATCGTGACCTGAGCCGAAGGCAGACGCTTAACGACCGAGCCACCCAGGCGCCCCCATAATTGGCTTTTATTATTATTATAAGAAATAGAAAGAAATAGAAAAAAATAGAAAAAAGCATTTCTTTTTCTCAAGCTAATTTTTTTATCTGGCAGGATTACACAAAGATTAAAAAAAACTATTTCACTGGATTTTTAAAACTTTTTTTGATTAGTAAATATTTTACATGCTCGAAGTACATAGAAAAAATTGCACTGAGAAGACTCGCTCCTTTCCTAGTCCCCATCCAGCACTGTCCCTCGTAGTCTTTTACAGATAACCATTTTTAATTAGTTTCTTGTTTATCCTTCAGGTCTTCATGCAAATTCAAGCAAATGTGAATATGCGTTCTTATTTCCCTTCATTGCTCCTTTAATATTTTCTACATTGTTCTGCACTTTGCTTTTTTCATTTAATAGTATATTCTGAATACTCCTTATCACTGTCTAGTTAGATTTCCTCATTTTTTTTTCTTTCTTTTTTTTTTAGCTGTCACATACTCCATTTTGTGGACATACTCTAATTTATAGCCAATGCTTTATAGGTACACACTTGTATTGTTTCCAGTCTTTGCGTATTAGAAATGATTTTTTTTTTTTAAATCTCTGTACCCATCGTGAGGGCTCAAACTCAACCCCGATATCAAAAGTGGCATGCTCAGGGGCGCCTGAGTGGCTCAGTCGTTAAGCATCTGCCTTTGGCTCAGGTCATGACCCCAGGGCCCCGGGATCGAGCCCCGCATCGGGCTCCCTGCTCCGTGGGAAGCCTGCTTCTTCTCTCTCCCACTCCCCTTGTGTTCTGTCTCTCACTGTGTCTCTCTCTGTCAAATAAATAAATAAAATCTTTAAAAGAAAAAAAAGTGGCATGTTCTGACTGAGCCAGCCAGGCGCCCCTAGAAACAATGTTTTAATGAATACATATTTCCTACATATTTGCAGGGGTAACTGTCAGATTGTCTGAAGGGAATTGCTGTGTCAAAGAGGAAATGTATTTGTAAATGTGATAATTACAGTTGCCCTTCGTAGAGTGGTCCATTCTATACTCCCAGGAGCCAAGTATGAGAGGTATTGCCTTTTCTTTTCTTTTGAGGGTGTTTGGGAACCACTGAAATATAATTGGGGGAGTTTTTTTTTTTTTAAGATTTTATTTATTTATTTGACAGCAAAAGCACAGAGAAGCAGGCTCCCCACTGAGCAGAGAGCCCCGACCCTGGGATCATGACCTGAGCCAAAAGCAGACGCCCTATGCCCTACCGCCCTACCAACTGAGCCACCGAGGTGCCCCTAGGGGGATTTTTTTTTTCCCCCTAAAGATTTTATTTATTTATTTGACAGAGAGAGACACAATGAGAGAGGGAACACAAGCCGGGGTAGTTGGAGAGGGAGAAGCAGGCTTCCCCCCCCGAGCGGGGCTCGATCCCTGGACCCTTGGACCATGACCTGAGCCAAAGGCAGACGCCCAATGACTGAGCCACCCAGGCACCCCTAGGGGGATGTTTTTGATAGATAAGAAAATCTGTAAGTAAAATCCTGAGTAGTGTGGGAATAGTAGTTACAATGATAAATGATTTATCAAAAAGAAATTGCTGTGTTATAGGAAGGCGAAATTATAAAAGGCGGTGTTGAATAGACACCAGTGTTTTTTTTCTTTCTTTGTTTTGTTTTTTTTTTTTAACTGCATGGTATTTAGCTTTGGTATATTTTTCTACATAGACTGAAGGATGTGTAGAAGAATCAGAAGGATCTTTTGTAATCAAAATCTTATGCTGCCTTCCTCCGTAACAGAAGTAACTCAAAAACAGGAGAGACACAAGTGAACGATTACCCAAGTCTATTTGCCTTAATCATTTCTTCTTCTGGATAGGTGATTAAAAGTTATTAGGGAATAAAGATTTTAGTTTGATGACAAATTATTATCTTGGAGTCTTAGGTCAGTGCTAGGGATAAAGACTTATCAATGTAGTTTGTGAAGGATTGGTTTTATATTTCTGGTTATCAGTAAAACATTTTTTCAGGAGGCATTTGTTCATACCTTAAATACATTATGATAGTCTGTAAATATGAAATCTGCAGTGGAGCAAGAAATAGAATTTGCACCAGTTATTACTTCATTTAGCCAAATAGAAGGAAGATGAAGACAGTGACGTTTCAAGTTATTTTAATTATTTTACTTTCTCTTGAAAATACTCTGCAAGTTTTGTCAATTTTTATTAACATTTACAGTGAGTATATGTGTCATCTAAAACTTTACTGCGTTGAAAGCCTTAAGAGCTTTTATAATTTAGAGAGAAGACAGGTAGGGGTCTAAATTTATATGTGATCATAAATAGGGGCACCTGCGTGGCTCAGTTGGTTGAGTGTCCGACTCTTGATTTCAGCCCAGGTCATGATCTCAGGGTCATGAGATGGAGGCCCACGTCGGGCTCCCTGCTGCCGAGTCTGCTCATGTCTCTCTCTCTCTCAAATAAAGTCTTTTAAAAAAATAAATAAAATATTATGTGTGATAAGTAAGTTTATGGTATATGTACATATATACACATTTATGTCACATGAAAGTCACTTTATACATTTTTTTCTGCAGGATAAAATATGGTTATAATCAAAAGCTAATTTACTATATAATGCTAGGTTTACTTTATTTTATTTACTTATTATAATGCTAGCTTTAATTAAAAAAAATTAAGAACCAGTTTCAGGTAAATATATTTAAATGAGCACTCCACTTAGGAAAGAAGTTAAATTTTGGCCCCAAAATTATTGCATTCTTGTTATTTGGCAAATATTATTTCAGGTAAGGGTTATTTTGAGACTATATTAAATTCATATGTAGTACATCTATGACTATGAATGAAATTAACATAACTTTTTTTCGTTTTTCTGTTACTTATTTTTTTTGCATAAATTTTACCTTCCTCATGCATTATTAAATTCTAGAATTCTGAACTTGGGGAAAATCAGATGGTTGTCATTATAATGCCTCCTGGGAATTATTTGATTTTTTTTTTTTTTTTTTTTCTTTTTCAGGACTGAAGCAAATAGCAATGAAGTTCAGTGTTTGTTGTGCCAGATTCTAAATAAGTTCTTGGGAAATATGCTGGAAAAAGGCCAGATTGATAATGTTTTGTGCATAAAATGGATGAAGCTCTTCTTACTAGACTAAAAGATAAAATCCAAATGTGAGATACAGGCAGTCCTGGCTCTTTCAAGACTTAAGACCTATGGGTAATGATTGCCCCATAAAGGTATGTGCTACTTCATAGTTTTTGTTTGATTTAAATGCACAGTATTTAAATTTTTCCTTATTAAATATATAACATATAAGGAGAGAAGAGAGTGTGTGATACATGTACACATCCCATTTAAAGATACGTTGTTTCAATAGCAATCCTTTGATACCAAATGGGTATCCTATAATTTAAGTACCCAGAATTAGAGCAGACCCACAGATCAAGCAAGGGCTCACTTCACAAGACTGCCCCCACCTCAGATACCAGCCACAAGTCTCAGGTATCCCCAAACTACTTGCACTTCTTCCTACCTAACTATAAATTTGGGGGATTCCCATGACTTCCACACCCCCTCCTACTGTTTGAAAATTCTCTAGAATGACTGACAGAATCAAGTAAGTGCTGTGCTTACTATTACAGTTTTATTGTAAAGGAAACAACTGAAACAGCCAAATGGAAGAGATATATAGGGCAAAGTATGGGGGACAAGGAGTGCAGAGCTTCCTTGACCTATGTGGGTATCCTACCTTCCCAGCATGTTGTTGTGTTCACCAACCTGGAAGCTTGAGCCTGGTTGTTCCAGGGTTTTTTATGAGATTTCATTGAGTAGGTATGTTGGATTAAATCATTGACTATTTGAACTCAATCTCTAGTCCCTCTCCCCTCCCTGAAAATAGGGGATGGACAATTTTGTGTTACTCATTACCTTGCTCTTCTTTAGAGTTTACTTTAGTTTTAAGGCTACCTAGATGTATCCCAAAATGTGTACTGTATCTTAGCCTTTTTTCACCTTAATATAAGTGGAGTTATATTACATATACACTTTTGTAACTATTTTTTTCCACTTAGTACTGCCCCAAAGGCAGACGCTTAACCGACTGAGCTACGCATGCACCCCATGAACTAAACTTTTTTTTTTTTTTCAAAGATTTTATTTATTTGACAGAGAGAGCACAAGCAGAGGGAGAGAGAGGGAGAAGCAGGCTCCCTGCTGGCAAGGAGCCCGATGTGGGACTCGATCCCAGGACCCTGGGATCATGATCTGGGCCGAAGGCAGCTGCTTAACCAACTGAGCCACCCAGGCGTCCCGTCATGAACTAAACTTCTATCAGCATTCTTAAACATGTATAAGAATTTCTCTGGCTAATAATGCCTAGAGGCAGTGTTAGGGACTGGATTGTGTGTCCACAAAATTCATATGTTGAAGCCCTAACTCCAAATACCTCAGAATGTGACTTTATGTGAAGATAGGATCTTTAAAGAGGTGATTAAGTTAAAATAAGGCCTTTGAGAAGGGGCCCTCATCCAGTCTGACTGGTGTTTTATAAGAAAAGGAAATTAGAACATGTCCATGTAGAAAGGAAAGGCCATGCGAGGGCACTGCAAGAGGACATCTATGTATAAACCAAGAAAAGAGGCCTGAAGAACCCAAACCTGTCAACACTTTGATCTTTGGACTTCTAGCCTCCAGAACCAAGAAAATAAATTTCTTTTGTTTAAGCCACCTAGTCTGTAGTATTTTTGTTATGGCAACCCTAGTGAACTAATAAAGTTAGAATTGTTAGATGGTAGGATTATGTACATGTTCAGCTTAAGTAATAATACTGATTTTTTTTAAGTAATTGGACTAATTTGCAGTCCTATTAGCAGTGTATGAGAATTCTTGTTTTGCATTCTTGCCCAAAAGTGATATTGTCAGGCTTTACCTTTTCTAGTTTGATAGGGGAGGAATGAAATCTTAACGGTCATTTTAATTACATTTTTCTGACAGCTAAGAGTTGAATATCTTCATATGTTTCTTGTTTCTATATCAATAAAATGCCTTTTATATCTTTGTCTACTTTTTTTTAGTGTGCCATGTTTGTTACTGATAGATAGAAGTTAATTTTAATGAAAGTAAGATTTATCCTTTAATGACCTGTCCTCTTTTTTGTCTTATTTAGGAAATTCTTCCCACCCCCAGAGTATAAAAAAAGATAATTCTCTCAATTTTTTTCTGAATGTTGTACTTTACATTTGACTCCTTCTACCTGGAATTTCTTTTTTTAATGTTTGGTTTGAGGGAAGTATATAATTTCATTTTTCCCCATATTACTAACAGTTGGCCCAGCCCTATTTATTGAATAGTCTTATTTCTCCTCAGCTGATCAACAGTGGCAGCTTTGTCATACATCAGAGGTCTGCACTGAATGTGGTCCTCTTTCTGCTCTCTTTCGGTTATAATTTTTATCTACCACTAGACCAGCATCACATTGCGCCCCCCCCTTTTCTATAAAGAGAAAAAGAGAGTATGCGGGGCTGGGGGGGAGAAAGAATCTTAAGCAGGCTCCACACTCAGCATTGAGCCCAACATGGGACTTGATCTCATGATCCTGAGATCATGATCTGAGCCCAAAATCAAGAGTCAGATGCTTAACCGACAGAACCACCCAGGTGCTCCTACATTTTTTTTTTAAGAGTTTATTTGAGAGAAAGAGAGTGAGAGAGAAGGAGATCACGAGTAAGGGGGAAGGGTAGAGGGAGAAGCAGATTCCCCACTGAGCAGAGAGCCTGACTTCGGCTAGATCCAGGACCCTGAAATCATGACACGAGCCGAAGTCAGATGCTTAACCAACTGAGCCTCCCGGGCGCCCCAGTGGTTTATTTTCTAAATAGATACAGAATGCATCACTTGCTGGATAATCACATTGGGTCCTTACTACTTTGTCTTTTTGTTAAGATTTTGTACTTAGCTCAGAGAATTCCATGTCTTCAACAGGCTAGTGATATCATGTTATCTGTACATAAAGTTAATAGATAAGAAAATCATACTTCTTTTTTACTATTATGAAAAATTTCAAAGCAGAGAATAGTAAAATGAACTATTATCAATATATGGCCAATTTTGTTTCTGTTCCTTGCCCACTGAATACTCCCCTCCCCCATATACACACTTCCTGCACCCTACTCTCAGCTAGAATTTTAAATCTTGGCCATGATAGCATTTCATCTAATATCCAGTGTTCAGGATTTTCTAATTTTCTAAAAAGTCTTCACCCTTGTTTCTTTGAATTGGAATTTAAACCATGTCCATACATTTTGTATGGTTAATATTTCTTACCATATCTTTTAATACATAACAGGCTGTCCTCGCCTCCTTGACATTTATTTGTTGTAGAGATTAGGTCATTTGTCTAGTTGAATTTTTCATATCCTGGATTTGACTGATTTCAGCCTCATACTATCACTCAAGCTATTCTATCATGGGTATTTCCTATAAACTGATAGTTAAGTTTAATCATGGCTACATTAAAGTTTTGACTTTGGGGAGGTAGAGGGGGTTAAAAATACTTGTGTAGTGGCTTATAAACAAATGGTCTGTTACGTTGATATCAAGAGGTGAAAGACTTTGATAACATTTTTGAAACCGTGTCCTAATATATATGAATAATGGATTACAAAGCAATGATATAATTTCTATAAACCAGGTTCCTCTACATCTTATCTCCTCTAACCTCATTATTTATAGAAAGGCCCAGAGAGCTAAGTATTTGTCAAAGGCCAAACATCTAATTTAATAGTAGAAATAAGGCTCTTGGGGCGCCTGGGTAGCTCAGTTGGTTAAACGTCTGCCTTTGGCTCAGGTCATGAACTCAGGGTCCTGGATCAAGACCTGCATCAGGCTCCATGCTCAGCAGGGAGTCAGCTTGAGATTCCTCCTGCCCCTCCCCCTGCTAGTGCACTCTTGTGCCCTCTCTGCCCCACCTCAAATAAATAAAATCTTCAAAAGAAAAAAAAAAAGGGTTCTTTTCCACCTTCCATTCCTTTAAAAATTTTTTTTTCTTTTTAAAGATTTTATTTATTTGACAGAGACAACGAGAGAGGGAACACAAGCAGGGGGCGTGGGAGAGGGAGAAGCAGGCTTCCCTCTGAGCAGGAAGCCCGATGTGGGACTTGATCCTAGGACCCTGGGATCATGACCTGAGCCGAAGGCAGATGCTTAACGACTGAGCCATGCAGGCGCCCTCCTTTTAAAATTTTGCCTCTAAAGGTGTTTGTGTATCAGAAAAGAGGTGGTCGGGATAGCATTTCTGCTCATCCAGCTAGTTTTTATGACTGAGAAGGTAAGACATAGTACGTTGTAAACTTTCAACTCCCTTGAGTCGTTCTGTTTCTTTGCACTGCCAGTGTGGTAACTAAGACCTGACTTTTAAAAGTAATAGAGAAGGGCCTTAGATACGATCTGGGCCTGAAGCCTGGTATATCCAGGATAGGAAGAATGCAATAAAATCTTTTTTTTTCCCTTGAAGATTTATTTATTTATTTGAGAGAGAGAGAGAGCACAAGCCAGGGAGGGGCAGAGGGAGAGAAAGGGGGAAAAAACTCACCGAGCACAGAGCCCGTTGTGGGGCTAGATCCTATGACCCTGAGATCATGACCTGAGCTGAAATCAAGAGTCGGATGCTTAACCATGCATCTGCCTTTAGTGCCATCTAGTTGTCTCTGTAATAAAATATAGGCCACAGTAGTGGTAGGTTATTTGGTCCTAAATAATTCCTATTTATGGTACTTGTTCATCTCATTTCTTTTTGTGCTAGTATGCTTTGTTTGCCATTTTGGTTTCTATTTGTCCTATAAATATTACGTGTAAGTTAATACTAATTTGAAGAAAATGAGTTATGTAACAAAATACAGGAAAGCTAGAGGGAAGTTACATTCTTCTACAGCTTATATAACTGAATCGATGCTTTGAAATCAGCGATGTGAAAAAATCTTCTATAAGCCTGGTTACCCTTCACTGGGATTATCTTAGAGTTGCTTCATCTGTTTGATATGTAAAAGTGGCCTGCAGTGCCAGGCTCACTGTTTTCTTTTTTCGTGACTCCCAGCGGACTGATGGGGAATTTGCAAAAACAACGGTTGTAGGTATATGACAAATTAATTCGTCATTAAAAGCCATTACCTTGATTATTTTATTTATTTATTTATTCATTTATTTATTTATAGATTTTATTTATTTGACAGACACGGCGAGAGAGGGAACACAAGCAGGTGGAGTGGGAGAGGGAGAAGCAGGCTTCCTGCAGAGCAGGGAGCCTGATGCGGGGCTCGATCCCAGGACCCTGGGATCATGACCTGAGCTGAAGGTAGACGCTTAACAACTAGCCACCCAGGCATCCCTATTTATTTATTTTTTAAAGATTTTATTCATTTGAGAGAGACAGAGCACACAAGCAGGGGGAGAGGCAGAGGGAGAGGGAGAAGCAGACTCCCCACTGAGCCAGCCAGGAGCCCGATGTGGGGTTCAATCCCAGGACTTGGAAATCATGACCTGAACTGAAGACAGACACTTAACCATCTGAGCCACCCAGGTGCCCCCCCCCCTTGATTAATTTCTAGCACAGTAGAAATATGTTAGCGGATAGGGCTTTGTAAATGTATAAAGCAACTCATATATAAATGCAACAGAGAAAGACTCCCAAATAAATACAATGCAAATAAAAATTGGGGAGCATTTTATTTAATGTGATGAGTGTGCTGTCTTTATAAGTTCATTCCAGTCTGGGATACACCAGGGCAATTCTCACATGTCTAATACAGTATTGACACCTGTTTCTTTCTTGTGTTTTTAATTGGATTACGTATTAAAAGTACTAATAAGTACTACAGTAATTCTGTAATGTAATTTGTAATGTACGGTCTTACTCCTCCAAAAGAATGATAAACTTAATGTCTCATAAGCCTTGTTTAATGTTTATGAAGAATTAATGTTTTATGTTCTTTAATTCTCAAGTATAACTCAATTTTTGATTCAGGGTTTTAGAAAGCAAGTGACTATCCAGATATTTTTCTTGAATGTATCAAATATTTTTTTTCTGGGACATAATGGTTAAAAGGTTGAGGCAGGACAGTAATGATAAAAAATAGACAAAATATATGAAATACTGTTTTTCAAGATACTAGGCAATGAAGGACATGAGCCCTCA